AAAAAAAAAATAAAAAAAATTAAAACGACGGTTTTTATTTCACACGCGCCGCCGCGCGATCCCGTATTTCCCGGCGGCGGAGAACGATTTTTTCAGGCGAGCATCCTCCGTGACGAGGCTGACGAGCAGGTCGGCGAAGGCCTCGACGATGAACTTGTGCGTGCTCTTTGGGTTGAGCGAGAGGTAGCACGTGAGGAGCTCGTGCAGGTACCCCCAATCCTCACGCACGCCACGCACCTCACGCGCCTCCACCATCTCCTGCATTGACCGCCGGAAGTCAGCGAACGGGTCAGGCGAGTACGTCGGAACGGCGATCCCTCCGCCAGAGGATCCTCCGGCATCGACCTCCGGAGACGACGGTGCCGGCGAGCCTCCGGAAGAGTCGACTATGGAGTTCGACCTCCCGGGGGAGGAGAAGAAGAACCGACGGGAGGCGGCGGCGGCGGCGATGTCCGGCGCGGAGGCGCCGTACTCGGCGTCTGAGTCGGAGGAGCTGGCGCAGTGGTCGGCGGCGGGGGCGGAGAAATTTTCGTAGAGGGAGTTGAAGTTTCTTATGAGTGATGAGGAGGATTGGGAAAACGGACGGCTGTGATCGTGAGTTGGGAGGTTGTGATCGGTGGACGGTGGGGATTTCATCTTATTGAAGCAGAAATGGAGATTTCTCGACATTTTTTTTTTCTTTTTTATTTTCTCAATCTTTTTTTTTTTTTATTTATATATGAAAAATGTAGAGAGAGAAATTAAAGGAAGAGTTTATTTGAATGTATTTCGCGTCATCAATGTTTGGACGACGGCAAAATCTCAACTGTATTTATGTGTGTGAAATGGGAACATCTCGTGATTGAAAATTAATATTTAATTTACTTATTTGTTTTGGAAAAATATATATTTATAATTAATTATACGAATGATCAATGTGAAATAAAATCAATAGTATGATAACCAAAACTTATATCACGTTTTATAGAGCAATCTTGAATTTGGAATATCAAAATCTTAAGCCTACATGGTATGACTCATGTAGATAATACTGGATTCTATGTGTATGTCGAGTAGTACAATGCTTTAAACGAGTCGAGCCTTTCACGAGTGCTTGAGTCAAAGATTGACTTAAACTTGACTTTGATCGAACACGAGTTTATATTCTATAAGCTCTCGATTATCCGCTCGAGTATATATATATATATATATATATATATATGTGTGTGTGTGTGTGTGTGTGTAACTACCCAAGTACTATTAATTCAAGCCGATTTAGATTATAATTAGAATTCTCTTTCAATTCAGAGTCCATCTCGAACTGATCTCGAGCATTTGTATCATAATGTCGAGTTAAGCTTTAACAAGCTTGACTTCATGTCGAGCTCAAAATCGAGCAGCAATTAAAAAAGATCGAGCTTGACTCGAGAAGGACATTGATCGATATAAAATAATAAATAAAAGGAGAAAAAAAAAATTAAACTAAATTTAGATAAACCAAGCATGTGTTGCGAACAAGGAGAAAGCTGGAGATAGTATATGGGAGATAGCGTCGTTTTGTAGATATTAGCTGTTTGTATTTTAGATGGAAAGGCGACTTAACAAAGGTAACACTCACCAGGTGTGGGCCTTTTGCTCTTAAATGATTGGCCCAAAATATATTTCCATTTTCCTAACTAGCCCAACAATACTATCAATTATTATTAACTAACACTAAATTATTTTTATATTATATTAATTTTAATTGGTATATTTTTATTTTATTTTTGTTTATAATATAAGTATGCAATTTTGCTATTATCGTAGGATGTGTCGACTCGCTTAACGGTTAGACAGTTTCGTATTAAAAACTTGTACAATATTATTGAGGTTCTCCACTTTTTGTAGGCAAGTTCATAATTGTGTCTTTAATTTGGTGTGCCACAAAATCTGCCAGGTATTTAATAGTTACATCCGAACAAATATCATAATTGATAATTTAATGTCAAATTATTGAATTTTCTCAATGTGAATTATATGATTTGTACGAGCATTTATTTTTGTAGAAATAATTCAGTCAAAATCAATATAGTCTATGGTACATAAAGTTTTGCTATAGAGTCATCAGATGACACGACTTATGGAGTCATTCACACTTATTCACACATAGTATATTAACACGTGTCCTACAATAACTTTATACATGTGTCGGCACATTAAGTGATGGGTGATTCCATAAGAAAACCATCTGATGGCTCCATAGAATTTTTAATGGTAGTTAATTGAATTTTATTTGACTTTTTTTTTTTTTTTT